TCTTTTTCATCTGCCTTTTATATGCCGCGGTGAGATGTTTCCTGTTGCCTCATCGACCGTTGTAAGCCAAGCTCGGGCAGACGACCACATCTCCATGCCCGCTCCGGGGATCCCACTCCAACCAACTGATCGGAGGAAGACCTCACCAACCATCCACCTTCTCTACAGATTACGTCCTGGCTTCCCTCTAATTTATCTCTCTGAAGACCACATTCTCCAAGACCTTCAAGCAAGCTTCAAGCCTCATCATGGTTTGTGTCTGCGATTTGGAAAACTGTCTGGGTCGAGACCAGCCTTGTGTGGCCCCGTCTGCAGGGGCAATTTGAGAATCTGTTGCTGGATCTCCCCAGGACCACCGTGGGATCACAAGCTTTATTCATACCACAAGTCTGTTTGTGGTTTTTGCAAGAGCCTTCCTGTAGTGAAGGTTCCAACGCTCTTGAGGATCATCGCTTCAATCAAGCCTGTTTGCGTCGAGTCTGCGTCGGGTCTTGTTGTTTCAGGTACCCCGTGGAGCTTTATTCTCAGGGACAACTACAGGAACTCTTTGAAGTTTGAGAGACTACACCCATCAAGCTGAAGAAGATCAAGAAGGGACACGAGGAGAATATGATAAAACAGGAGGGAATGTCATGGAAATTTTGTATTGTTGGTCGAACTTTAAATGTGTCATGTATTCGTGTTATTCATATGTCTCTCGTGTGGCTTAATTAAAGCTCTGAAGGCTGCAATTGGGCCATGCGCATGTACAATGTATGTATTACAGTACTCGGCTTGGTAATGGATGAGATGGCAGATCTGCGCTTATAGACCGGCGTGTGTATACCACCACGGCATTCCATGCGAATGCTGCTGTCAGTAGACCGTGGGCCTGTATCCACATATCAGCAGCATGGTACCACGTGGGCTTCATAACGCAATGCGCAAGCGGTGTGAACTCCACGTGTAGGCTTGTGCATATCTTACAACCCATTACCAACTTGAAACTGTATCTCGGATGGATGTGTTTTAATAAAGATCGTATCGGGCCCATCCAGGTACAGACTGATATTTTTAGGGAGTGCTTGTACAAAGAATGGACATACCAATAGAAGCTAGTAGGACAGGAAATATGACCTCAGATGGCTCATAGGGGGGAAGGGGAGGAAGTCTGCTGACCTCAGAAGGTTCATGGGGGAGGACCAGTGATAGATAATAGCAAAGGCTATGCTCCAATTGGAATGTATATCCTCTGTATAGGTACTCCCCATTGCATTGTTCAAGGTGGTGGAGCTGGTAGCTGTGTATATAAAGGTGGAAATCAAACCTCTGACATGGGGGTCACATTTACATATGTTATGTGACAGTAGGCAGGTGAAATCACCTGGTTGTGATAGGAGTCCCAGAGTGACTGGTCCAGCCCCATAGTGTTGGTGCCCAAACCGGATGGGAGCTGGCGATTTTGTAACGACTTCCGACAGTTAAATAAAGTTACAAAGTTTGACACCTACCCCATGCCGAGGATAGATGAATTAATCGACCGTCTGGGAGCAGCCCGGTACATGACGACGCTCGATTTGACCAAAGGATATTGGCAGATACCCCTAGCTGAGTCAGCAAAGGAGAAGACTGCATTTGGAACCCCAGAAGGGTCATTCCAGTATAGAAGAATGCCGTTCGGGTTACAGAATGCACCGGCTACCTTTCAGCGCAAAATGGATCAAATTCTTCGCCCCCATCAGAAGTATGCTGCAGCTTACCTGGACGATGTGATTGTCCATAGCGCAGATTGGGCCTCACATTTGCCAAAGGTTCAGGCTGTACTAGACTCAATACAGAAAGCTGGGTTTACGGCCAACCCAAAGAAGTGTATGATTGGACAGGAAGAGGCCAGGTACACCATTGGGAGAGGAGTAATAAAAACCCCAGATCAACAAAGTTGAAGCGATAGAGTTGGCCACGCCCAAACAACAAGAAGCAGGTACGGGCTTTTCTAGGTATTGCTGGCTACTATTGGCGATTCATTCCCCATTTTGCTTCTCTGGCAGTGCCCCAACCAACTTGACAAAAAGGAAGGAGTCGGTCGTGGTTAAGTGGTCCCCGGAGGCTGAAGCAGCATTTCAGTCTTTAAAAAGGGCCTTATGTAGCCAGCCAGTGCTATTGTCAGGAATGGACTTGCCAGTAATGGTGGGACTCACCTGCCTTGTGGGCTGCAGTACCAGGGCTGGCCAGCGGGTGCTCTCAGCAATCAGAGAATCAACCCTGTAGTCAGCCAAACACCTGAAGCTGATTATGCAGGTGTATTTAAGGGATGGCCAGACCTGCAGTCTGTTCCTTGGTGTGTGTTTTTCTATGGGCCCCTGTATCTTGTTACCTGCATTCCTGTTCCTGTCTGACTGATTCGTTGCCGACCCTGCCTGATCCGGACCTCTGCTGACTTCTCCTGTTTGATCCCTGGCTTGTGACCCCGACCATTCTCTGCCTGACCCCCTGTACCTACCTGCCCGTTAGTTGCTGTACCCGTCTCGTGACCTGACTACTCTCTGCCTGCTTCTCCTGTTCCTACCTGCCCGATTGTTATTGACCCGGCCTGCCTGACGACGCTTGCATTGTATGTATTGTTATCTGTGGGTGGTTTGGTTCGTTTGCACTGTGTTATGTTTTAGTATTGCACTGCGTTTATGTATTGTTAGTGTTAATAAATTATATTGTTTATACCATATCTGAAGCCTGCGTTTCCCTGCGTCAGTTCACATACCTCTGGTCATACCCTGGAGCCCTGACATTACACCAAGGCCAATCCTGACCAGAAGTGGCTGCTGCACAGGGAAGCCATCTTGGCTTGTTCCTGGGAAGGATGGATCTGGATGAGGTTGTGTATTTATCTCTGCTAGTGTTTGATGACAGGGAGTATGCTTATCAGACTCTGATGGAGTATCCCCGGGATCAACTGCTAGAATGTATACGGCTCGCTCATGTTCTAGTAGATCAGGGCACAGAATTCTCTGAGGTGCAGCCATTGATTCAGGTTTGTGCTGAGTTGGTTTCATCTGGTACCCCCGAATGCAGGGATGAATTTTTGCCGCCATTTAGTGCCGACCAAGTAGAGTCCCTGGTGTGGTTATTAGAGGATGATGTGGATTACTTTCTGGAGCGTTATTCTGCATGTTCACCACAGGTATTAAGGGATTGTATAAACGCAGTGCAGTCTTTGGTCAGACAGGCTTTGTGTAAGCTGAGCTTTGTTCAACCCATACTGCAGACATGGTCAGACTTGTTGCACCCAGCCTCAGTCGGCTTGCAAACATCATTCCTCTGCTCAAGGCACTCTTCCTGCATCCCCGACAGCACCCCCAGTGACTGCCCAGTATACTCTGCTAACTACCACATACCAGTCCTCTGCTCCCACTCACTGCACCTATATCCTTCCTTTAACCCTGTAAAGAAGTCCTCTGTAGCAACTGCTCCCTCCTCTGTTCCATCCTCCAGCTCTTCTCTGTCTCCAGCTGCTCCATTCGTTTGCAGACCTGCGTTTACTTGCAGTGCTCCAGTAGTTAAAACCAGAAAAAAAAGCGAAAATTCTTTCCAACCAGTACCATCCTGCCAGTATCCAAACCGGTGAGCCTGCCCTCTGAGAACCTGCCTTCCGTGGTTCAGCCTGGTGCCTCGGCACCCGCACTTCAGCCTGATGTCTCTACCCAGCCTGATGTCTGTACCCAGCCTGATGAACTGATCCAGCCTGATGATCCTATCACGCCTGATGACCCAGTGCCCGCTGTCATACCTGGTGACCCGATGCCCGCTGTCGAGCCAGACGATCCAATGCCTGATGACCCAGTGCCCGCTGTCATGCCTGGTGACCCGATGCCCGCTGTGGAGCCAGACAATCCGGTACCTGATGACCCAGTGCCCGCTGTCATGCCTGGTGACCCGATGCCCGCTGTCGAGCCAGACGATCCAGCGCCAGATGACCCGGTGCCCGCTGTCGATCCAGACGATCCGGTACCTGATGACCCGATTCCCGATGTCAAGCCAGATGACGATCCAATCCGCCTGATGACCCAGTGCCCGCTGTCATGCCTGGTGACCCGATGCCCGCTGTCGAGCCAGACGATCCAGCGCCAGATGACCCGGTGCCTGCTGTCGAGCCAGACGATCCGGTACCTGATGACCCGGTGCCCGCTGTCGTGCCAATTGACTCAGAGCCCACTGTTGTGCCTGGTGATTCGGTGACCACTGCCTTGCCAGATGACGCGGTGCCCGCTGTCGAGCCAAATGACCTGATGCCTGGTGACCCGATGCCCGCTGTCGAGCCAGACGATCCAATGTCTGACCCAGTGCCCGCAGTCATGCCTGGTGACTCGGAGCCCACTGTCGTGCCTGGTGACTCGGTGCCCACTGCCTTGCCAGATGACGCGGTGCCCGCTGGCGAGCCAAATGACCTGATGCCTGGTGACCCAGTGCCCGCTGTCATACCTGGTGACCCGATGCCCCCTGACGAGCCAGACGATCCAATGCCTGATGACCCAGTGCCCGCGGTCATGCCTGGTGACCCGATGCCCGCTGTTGAGCCAGACGATCCAGCGTCAGATGACCCGGTGCCTGCTGCTGTCGAGCCAGACGATCCAGTACCTGATGACCCGGTGCCCGCTGTCGTGCCTGATGACCCGGTGCCTGCCGCTCCGCCTGGGGGCCCGGCGCCCGCCGCTCCGCCTGGGGGCCCGAGACCTGTCGCTCCGCCTGGGGGCCCGGTGCCCGCCGCTCCGCCTGGGGGGTGCCCGGTGCCCCCGGTGCGCCCCCCCGCCTGGGGGCCCGGTGCCCGCCACCCCCGCCTGGGGGCCCTGTGCCCGCCGCCTGGGGGCCTCCTCCTGGGGGCCCTGTGCCCGCCGCTCCTCCTGGGGGCCCTGTGCCTCTACCCGGAGTCCAGCCCGACGTGCCGCTGCCCGGAGTCCAGCCCGACGTGCCGCTGCCCGGAGTCCAGCCCGACGTGCCGCTGCCCGGAGTCCAGCCCGACGTGCCGCTGCCCGGAGTCCAGCCCCCGACGTGCCGCTGCCCGGAGTCCAGCCCGACGTGCCGCTGCCGCTGCCCGGAGTCCAGCCCGACGTGCCGCTGCCCGGAGTCCAGCCCGACGTGCCAGTCTTTGATATCCCACCAGTTACCAGACCCGGGCGGTGGAACATTTTGCCCAGCTAGGACTGTTTGGAGCGTCCTGAGGCCGCTCCTTGAGGGGGGGGGGTACTGTCAGGAATGGACTTGCCAGTAATGGTGGGACTCACCTGCCTTGTGGGCTGAAGTACCAGGGCTGGCCAGCGGGTGCTCTCAGCAATCAGAGACTCAACCCTGTAGTCAGCCAAACACCTGAAGCTGATTATGCAGGTGTATTTAAGGGATGGCCAGACCTGCAGTCTGTGCCTTGGTGTGTGCTTTTCTATGGGCCCCTGTATCTTGTTACCTGCATCCCTGTTCCTGTCTGACTGATTTGTTGCCGACCCTGCCTGATCCGGACCTCTGCTGACTTCTCCTGTTTGATCCCTGGCTTGTGACCCCGACCATTCTCTGCCTGACCCCCTGTACCTACCTGCCCGTTAGTTGCTGTACCCGGCTCGTGACCTGACTACTCTCTGCCTGCTCCTCCTTTTCCTACCTGCCCGATTGATATTGACCCGGCCTGCCTGACGACGCTTGCATTGTATGTATTGTTATCTGTGGGTGGTTGGTTTGGTTTGTTTGCACTGTATTATGTTTTAGTATTGCACTGCGTTTATGTATTGTTAGTATTAATAAATTATATTGTTTATAACATATCTGAAGCCTGCGTTTCCCTGCGTCAGTTCACATACCTCTGGTCATACCCTGGAGCCCTGACAGCTATACTCACCAGACTTCTCAAAAACTTTGTGGTCCAGACGGATGCATCCGATGTTGGCTTAGGAGCAGTGTTGTCCCAGGTTTGGAAGGGGGAGGAGCACCCGGTAATCTACCTGAGCAGAAAGCTTAAGTCTCACAAGGAAAATTACACCACAATTGAGAAGAAGTGCTTATCAGTAAAGTGGGCTCTAGATTCCCTGCGGTACTATCTGCTAGGCAGACATTTTGACCTAGTCACGGATCACGCTCCCTTGAAATGGATGGCTCAAAATAAAAGAGACCAATAGAGTAAATAGGTGGTTCTGGCCCTACAAGAAATTAACTGTGAAGTAAAACAAGAAGAAGCGCACCAACCTTGCTCATTACCTCAGTAACCAAATTTATTTAGTAAAAGAATGGTACTCACAAACAGCGAATAAAAACAGGCATGTAAGTCCTCCCAGGGACTTCAAAAGGCAAGAGGCCAGCGCGAATCCCATCATGGGGGTGGACACTAAGTACAACTGACGCGTTTCGAAGGTCATGCCTTCTTCCTCAGAGCTGGCACTTTTTATTCGCTGTTTGTGTGAGTACCATTCTTTTACTAAATAAATTTGGTTACTGAGGTAATGCGCAAGGTTGGTGCGCTTTTTCTTGTTTTACTTCACAGTTCTGTTCGGGCTTCCCCAGCCTTGGTTTGGAGCTGCACGACCTTGTATGCCCCGTGTGGTTGTTTTGTTGGGATTTGATCTACTCACCACCGGCCTGGGTCCCGGAGCGCAGGATAAATTGCATTTAGCCTACAAGAAATGAACTTCACGGTAAAGCATTGCCCTGGAGTTCAGATGGGAAATGTGGATGCTTTAGACCGGGTTCATGCCTGCCTGGCTACTGGTGTTACAACCCCAAGGTTGAAACAAGAGGGGGGGTATGTGACAGTAGGCAGGTGAAATCACCTGGTTGCGTCCTGGATGGACGATACATTTGTCCAAGGTTTAGACTATATGGGGATTTGTTCCACTAGGGGGGAAGTGCTGAGTCCTTCAGCACTGAGGTAATGAGCCCAGCTGAAGATAGTGGGCTCATTAAGGCCTTTATAAAACTTCCCAGCCTGCTTAGTGAGTTGCTCCAACTGGAACCAGATCTGTGCCTGAACTGACTGGGGACAACATCCTATCTGTGTGCAGTGAGACAAAAGCCTGTGTGGCTAAGCCTCCAACTAACAGGGGCTAGGTATAGCATCAGGCTGTACCTGGTGGGTAGCTAGGGAAGCTATGTTGTACAGTAAGTATCCAAGTTGGCCAGGATTTGATGTTTCTTATTTTGTTTTGACGTTTTTCTGTAAATATTGTAAATAAACTGCACCTTTTTGTTTTTTTCACCTCCACTGTTGTGCTGTGCCTGTGTTTTGTGTTGTGCACCCATCCAGGGGGTCACACACACCCACTGCCGAGCGAACCCCGTTACAGTGTTCAAACCTTGTCATGTCTGGGAGGGAGGGGGTGGTGTGTAAGTGGGAGGAACAAAAGTGATTGACATGAAGATATCTAAAAAGTTCAGGTCTAGATATTTTGTGGGAGTCACATAGGGTTTGGAAGGGTATAAAGGAGTCTGGTGCTGTGAAATTGTAAGTTTGAACTAGACTAGCTCTAGGACAAGCATGAAAAGAAGATGGAGGCATCCATGCCGGATAAAAGCCTGGAATGAGGAGGTATGCCATGAGTGGGTTATGGGGTGACTGTAAGGTGTATCAGAACTTTAGACTGTCCCAGATAGATGGGTAGTGTGACGGAGCGTAGGCAGGACAGAACACACAGAGTAGATGGCAAACGCACAAAGCTTTATTGAGACAAACAGACGGCAGTAACTGAATAGGGGAGTTCGCAGGGAGGGTGAATACGCCAGTCCAGGATGACACGGAAGGACCAACACACAAAGTCCAGACAGAGAGCCAAGGGAGAGTCTCTGTAGCAAGTAAAGTCTTCCCCAGCTGTGGGAGAAGGGGGGGTCCTAGGCAGCCTTGGGTCTCTGCCAAGCCTGGCCACAGCTCTCGGGCTCCTTCCATCAGCTACCCAGCGGTGAATACCTCGGGAGCTCTGCATCAGCTTCTGCATCGGACCCCCTAGTCAACTAGGCAACCGGGGGGGGGGGGGCAGAGAGCTAGGGTGGCTCAAGCTTGCCTTACGAGTTAGTTTCATATTTGCAGGAGGGGGGGGAGGGGCACGGATGAGAGATGGCAGAGAGAGGAGCAGGGACAGAGAAGGGGCTGTGGGGGGGGGGGGGGGGCAGCTGTGACAGGTAGTGTTGAGTAATTATGTTTTGGAGTGAGCAATGGTCTCTGGAGTGTAGCCATAGTAAACTGGCAACTGATAAGGGGTCACAATCTACTGACTCTCTATAGCGACCCATGGGGGGGGGGGGGTCACTTTTACTGCATGATATTTAGGGAGTTGAGCAAGATGTGCAGCTTGGAAATATTTTGCAAAGTTGGAAGCCCCAGACCACTCTAAGTTTCGGTAAGGTACGGATGGACCTGGGTAGATGCAGTTTATTAGTGCCCCATACATAAGTGGTGCCGCGACACTAATATGCAGAGGAAACAAGGAAGGTATATATATGGGTAGGACCCAATAAAGGTATAATATTTTGGGCAGAAATTGTCATTTTTTACAATCATGATACAACCCATCCATGAGAGGGGTAGTTGGACCAGGATGTCATAAGATTGGTAAGGTGTGTTAACATAGGAGGGTAGTTAGCAGAATATAGAATATTGAGGTCTGCCATCAGCTTGGGGTCCTAAATCAGGAATATATTGACTGGACCAAGAGAAGGGTGGAGGACGTTGTAGTTGTGACACAGTTAAGGAGGGTAGAGAGATATTAAGAGCTGTAGACTTTTTTGGGATTCACAACCAGGTCCGAAATCACTGCAAATTGGTCCAGGCATTGGAGAAGGTTGGGTGCTGAGATCAAAGGAGAAGACATGAAGAGGAGATTGTTATCAGAGAAAAAGCATAACTTATGATGATGACCGCCAAGTTCTAATCCTTTAATATTTGTGTTAGTTCTTATCAGCTGTGCTAAAGGTTCATTCGCTAGAAAAGGAGGGGGGGAGGGGCAGCCTTGCCTCATTCCCCTTTGTATGGAAAAAAAGTCTGACTTGTAACCCACATATCTCAAGTAAGCCCTTGGGGAGGTGTAAAGGGGTGATATCCATTGGAGTCAAAGGCTTTTTTTTGTCTCCAAGGAAAGGAAACAGCCGGGTATGCGGCGTATGCAAGCTGCATGTTCTAGCAAAATCACTCTGTGGTCTCGGCTTGGCAGAGGGGGGTTAAAACCCATCTGATCCTTGTGTATCAAGGTGCCTATGATGGAGTTCAGCCATGCAGATAGGATTTTTCTAGGATTTTAACATCCAAGTTAAGAAGGGAGATTGGTGTGTAATGAAGCCATGTGGTGTGATCTGATTGGGGTTCAGGTAGCATAGAAATGACTGCTGTTAGGGAGTCTGAGCAGAAAGAATAACCTTTGAGTAAGGCATTAAATGCATTAACCAATAAAGGTGGAAGGAGGTTAGTAAATATTTGGAATATAGGGCTGTAAGCTGTCTGGGCCAGGCCGCTTATTAGACTTTAGGGACTTGATGGAGTTCGGGACCTCAAGTTCTGTAATAGGTGTTTCCAGGGAAGAACATTGAGAAGCTGAGAGTGTTGGTAGAGATAGGCTTGAGAAAAGTTCAGTGGCCTGCGATTCATCATAGGAGCCGGTCTCAGAGTATAATTCTGCTAGATGTTTGTGGAAGACCTGTAATATTTTATTAGGATGGCTGGTGTGTGAAGTTTTTGTAATCTTTAAATGGACAAGTCTGTGTGTGTGGTCTGAGGTTCGCAGTCCCAGGGCTAGAAAAGTGTCAGGTTTGTTTGCGTTCATATAATGTTTATGCCTGGATTGGCGTAGAACTTTTTCATCTGATTCTGTCAAGAAAACATCTATTTCTAGCCTGGTCTTGTCCAGGACAATCTATGAGAAGGTGAGGGGTCTGATTGGAAGGCTTTGTTGGCCTGATGAAATGAGGTGTCTAAGCGGTGATGGATTGCTCGCTGTCCTTTCTTGAGATGTGAGGCTTGGCTGATACAGGCTCCTCTAATTACAGACTTATGGGCTTCCCAAAAGGTCAGGAGAGAGAGGTCATCAGTTGTGTTATGTGTCAGGTATTCTTTGATGGCTAGTTCAATGTCCAGTCTGTGGGATGGGTGGGCCATTTAGACTCCATGTAGT